ACGAAGCTGGGGTGATTGAAACGGAGAAAATGACGACTCAGGACTTTTCACTTTTAACAGCAAGCATATCTTTATTTTAATTTATAGCAGATGACTTTTTCCAGATGAAGTTAATCAAATAACTTATTCAGTAATTGAACTATTAGATACGACTGACTTTAAACTTTAATACGTCATAACGTTCTAACAAAGAAAGAGGAGCATAGCGGAAGCATTAGCAGGACGAAGGCGAGAAGGCATATGTCTAGGAGAACTTATGACGCAGCATTTATATGAAAGGTTATGTAACAGAGTAGCTTCTAGAAAAATGTAGAAAAACTTATGACGCAGCATTTATATGAGGAGGTTATGTAATAGGCCTGAATGTTCTAGCAGGTACTTGGTTAGGGGACGATCCTGAATTGCAGAAAATTAATTAAAGGTTGCTGGTTCGCAAAGAGCAAAGCCATCGTATTTTTTTTATATTTTACATATATATATATATATATTATATATCTACATATATTTATATGCATTTCTGAGAATCTGTCTTACCTTTGTGAAGGCTCGATTCTGAATCACAGAGATCGAGCAATACTCCATGCAAATTCTTATAACCATGAGGCTGGAAAAAAATTCCACGTCCTTTTTCAGCACATGTCCTGTCATAATGTCCCAGGCACTCTACGTAATCAATGTATCGTCTGAAAAAAAGAAAATAGTTATATAACAAAGAAACTGTATAAAATAATAGTTACCATAAACATGAAGAAAAAACAACTGATTCTTCAAACTTCTCTAAAATATGAAATTTGTAATGATGTTATACACTTGTGTAAATGTTTCCATGCATTTGTGTTGTCTTGTTATGATTCTTGTTATGTTTGAGAAATTCAGATTTTTATTGCAAGGGGCTTTGTCCCTGAAGAACTATTGTTTTCGTTTTGCGATTTTGCGTCGGACTTTTATAAATCTTGGTTCACTTATCAACTGTTCGCACTATGTTAAATCCTGCATTTATATTGAAGAAAATTAATAAAAATCGCTTAATGCACGTATAGTTTCTCGCATGGAAAAACAACGGTACCTAAAATCGAATTTTGAATGTCTTACTCCTAATGGCATGTGGAAACCAAATTTGAAATTTGGAATTTGTTTTATTATCGATTTCATATTTTGTAAAACTTTAACGAATTTTTGATTAACAAACTCAAGATTTTCAAAACAAAAAATGGCAACGTTGTACAGAAAAAATATTTTTATTTCCAGCGCCGGAAATTCTAATGATATATGCTCAATTTAAAACTATTCTGCGATATTGCTCTTGAGCTGAGTTTTATAGTTTATGCGCGAAGAACGTGATATTTAATAAATAAAGATAGCAAACAAAATGTAAAGTCTGGAACCTTTCAGATTCTTTTTTTAAGAATTTTTAATTTATATAAACAAATTAATGAGATTATGAAACGTATAAAACTTCCTTAATAGTTTACAATTTTCAGTAAATTTTTTATCATTTGCTTTATTAATTGATGTGTTTAAAAAGTTACAGCTAAAAATGAGGAACCTTAAGAACTGGTAAGCGAATTATAGCTTAGTTCAGTAGACAGAGAGCACAACTCAAGAAAGGTTAAATACCCTTTATTATTGAAAATAAATTTAATAGTCGACTCCTTCTGGGAGTTTACAGCAGAGCCTCTACTCGGGCATGAACTCAGGTATACTAAGAAATAAAATTTAACTAAAAAGACATAGCCGAAGTTATCAAAATTCTACTAGAGTTGGCCTTTCAACGCTAACTAACGGCGAAGCTATCAAAGGCCTCAAATACGGCCGAGCGTACAAAACAGCTTAGAGAGAGAGTAGCCTAAAAGGCGAACGCGCGCTGCTCAGAATCTCTGGCTCTCTAACGAAGTCAATAGAACTTCAAAGTTAAATACTTTCTCCTTCTTATTTGCATCTAACCGCGATTCTGAAAACAGGTTCTGGCCGGAAGTTGTAAGCTGAAAGTAAGAATGGACAAGAAAGTGGCATTACCTCAAAATTAACTGTTAGCAAACTTAGGATAAACCTTACACCCTTACCAGTTCGTTAATATTTCTGATTTAAGTGATCGGAAGAATTTTGAATTTTGTCGTCTTTGACAACAAAATGAATAATGAGTTAATTTATGGAAAAATATTGCTGTAATTTGGTGATTCTTAAAAGCACCTTGATTTTTACATATTTTTACATATATAGCCTAGTTTTGACAGCTTGTATGATTCAGAAACAGAATGTCACACCCTTAACCGTTTGCGACACAGTGTGCCCGGTCTGGACACACCTAAAAATTTCCTTCTGTACGCACAGAAAAATTGAATGAAAAAGGATTTATAGGTTACTATAGGTTACTCTGAGTCTTCTTTATTTATAGTAGATGGCAGCTCAAACAAACCAGTCCATCTTTTAGCCATGTTATTCTTTAAGACCTCATTTTTCAAAGAAATCTTCCAGATTTTTTAGGGTAAAAGGAAGGTTTGAAAAGAAATGTCTGTGTATTTTTTTGGCTGTATGCTAATCTCCTTATTCTATTTAGTTTTAAATTTCCCTTGATATCTTTCCTAAAATCAACGGCGAACCCTAGGTGTGCCCAACCGGCTACGATCATCTATAACACTGCGAGTCTGTATTTCTCTGTCTTCTGTCATTCATTGAAGCAAGCTCATTTCCGAACTGTTCTAGCTCTATCAATCAGTGTGCACTTTGCACCTCCACAGAATAAAACGAAGCGCTATCTCCAAAATTTACTTGTGTCTCTCTAGCCTAATTGGACTGCCTACCCTTTTTTTTTTTTTTTTTTTTTTTATATCAGGACTCCGACTTTAAAAGGTTGCGTGCCGGAAAGGGTTAAACGCCTGATAATCAACTTTACGTATTTTAAGCTTACATTTTCAAGTGCGCTCTGCTCTAGATATTTCTGATGTGTTGGAAAAAAGATTTCAAAATTATTTTCTGCTTACAGATATTTATTTGGCAGTGTCTTCGAAGATAATGGAGTTATCAAAGGCTCACCCTTATGAACTGAAATCAGCGCAATTCTCCAAAACTTCAATAATGAACAGTCTTCAATAATCAACATTTCTTACAGCCTCCTTCATCGAGATATTCAGTACAGCTTAGAGTCTTCATTCATACCAGGACTCGGATTCGACGAGTCGTTAATTAGTTAATCGGATGTTCAGAGACCATTATTTGGCTTTGAATTCCTTTCGTCTTTATTTCATACTTCCCATTCAAAATGAACAAAAATCGGATACATTAATCCGTTTCCTATTTTCCGATTATTCCAAAAAATGAAGAACATTTATGAAAGAGAAAAATTATAACGTAGGTGCTTCACAACACATTCCAGTACAGATAAATTTACATACTTACGGACAGAGTTCCATGAGTTCCTCAACATCTTTAGCAATCGTCACATTTACGTTGTTACTTCGGCATACAAATGCCGGATTTTTAAAACATAGTTCATCCAAACCTAGTATACCTGTAGTAAAAGAAAGGAAGAGTATTCATAAGAGGAATGCTTTTTTTTTACATTACTTTAAAAGTACTGTCTTCTGATTACATCATAAATTATGCAAATGGGATCGTAACGAAAGTATTTATGAAAAAGGTAGAATCATCCAGTCGGGAATTAGGATCATTTTTATGCTTCCATTTCCCTCTTTAATTAAGTAACAAGCATAGTTATTACTCATCAACTATTTTGTTAAAAATCTAGAAAGTAATATTGATGCATGCCTTAGTAAATCAACAAAAGGTATGTTTTTTAAACTTTTTAAAGTGCACCATTTTTCACTTCACTTTACTACTGATAGGTCTAAGCGCTTCTGCAGAGTGTACAAAGAAATTTGCCTTGTATTTATCAGATAATAATGCATTTTGAATCCATAACAATAAACTCATAAGATTCTATGTATGTAAAATGTACTATGTACTAAGAATGTACTATGTTCATTTTTGCTTCTGACTACTTTCACATTTGAGTCCCCTTCGGATAATCTATTAATGAAACTCATATAACTAATAGTTAAAATTTTGGTTATTTATAATATTCCTTTCATGAGTACTTATTAATTAAACAGAAACGTAATAAATATTTGTCCTTAAATTATTTATTATTTAATTTTTAATCTTTGTCGATGGCAAGATCTGACGAAGTAAAATAAATTCGCTAAGTAAAATGATTTATAACAATTACTTTCTAATCTGATTTCCTCAGATTATGAAAAGATTTAAATATTAATACTTGTATTAATGTCGTTGGAGAAAAATAATTGATATTAATTGTTTATATTCAGATAAGATCAAAAATGAGATCGCAAAAATGTTCAGTTATAATAGTTCTCCCTTTAATATCTATTCAAACAGCATTTTTAAAAATAGATCGTACTACCAGCTAGTGATCTTCACAGGTGTTATCTAAAATTTAATTACATTTTTTTTTCATAACACGACTCGCACTTGAAATATTCCTGAAAACTTATAAACTTGGTCCTCCAGGAATAAAAAAGTAATCATAGAGATTCACCAGAACGTACATTTGGCCAGAACCGTTCACGCCCAACAAATCATTCTTGATAACAGTTAGGGGTGTGTTTCCAATGGAATTCGCCGTTCAGCTTAAAGAAAGGAATATTCAGCATATGTTATCTTGTCCGTGTCTTGAAACTATTGATGGACATTTTCTTTCGAGAACTGAGCGTTTTTCTAGGATTACATGTTGCAGAATGAAAACGCCCTAGCGGAAGAGGGGGGAGATTTTTAAAATTTGATCTCTGATGGCAAGAAAAACTCTTAGCTATAGTAGAACTCCTAATATACAAAGTTATAGGTAACTTCTTGTAATTCGTGTTAAATTTATAGCTTCGTAAGCGTTGAATATGGAAACACCGTGATTGTTACTCACCATTTACGGTATTATTGTAATTTGTGTTAATTATTTCTTGATTGAAGTTCACTAATAATATGTGTTATCTGAATAAAAAAGAAAAACACTAAACTAAGAATATATATTCATTGATACGTCCTGGTGATTTTTTTTTACTGTTCCAATGACAATTACTATAAAACCGCCCTTTTGGACAGGTCCAGGTTATGTAGTATGTCATGATCACAAACACATGTATAAGGAAAATCAAGTAAATAGGTAGCAAAATCAAATAGCAAAATCAAGGCTTTAAATCTTTAAGGCTTCCCCAGCGCATTATCCGGTCATGCAAGCTGACATTCTAAGAGGGAATAAACAAGTTAAAGCAATATCTTAAGATCACCCCAAATGCATCTATTCTTGGCCAGTGAGCTTTTACTCACTGGCCAAGAATAGATGCATTTGTGAATTATTTTCCATCCGCGAGGATTAATTTCAAATTTTCATGATGTTCTTGAAGATTCAGAGAATGGTCAACAACTGCGTAGACATGTTTATTGCCTTTAGCAAAAGAACTGTATAACGTCTTCTTTTAAAATAGTAAATATAATGTCAAAATTTTAAAAACATATAATAAAATCTTGACCTAGTGCAAATACATTCAAGTTTGCTTATCAAATTTTCTTTCAAATAAGTTTAAATTACATGATATAATTACAGTTATCATATATTAAAGTGATAAAAACTATATTTTACAAAAGTTTAAATAAAAAAAAATCGCATAGCTATGTTACTTTTATACCATCTTTGAATTTAGCAACGAAAACTGCATTAAAATAAACTAAATTTCCAGAAATAATATTTGTTTATGTTCTGCAAGGTGTGAAACAAAAAAAATCGTGACTGGTCCAATAAATCATTGTATTTACAGAATCAGTTCTCCGTGAAATTATTACCTTCAAAGTAAGTCCCTTCACCATTCACACACTTCTGTATTCGGTGCTGCCATTGCTTGTAACAGTTCTGGAACGATGTTTTTGGAAAACCCTTCAAGAGATTCTCCGTTTTTGCCTGAACTTCTTCAGCTGAGGTAAAATGGGTACCCTTTAAGTAAGATTTAACTTTATGAAATAAAAAAGTCCCATGGAGCCAAAGCAGATGAATAAGGAGGATTCCCCATAACAGTAATGTTTTTGCTGGTCAGAAACTGCTCGATCGATAGGGCCGTGTGAGCGGGTGCATTGTCCTGGTTCAACAACCATCCATCACTCCACAATTGTAGCGTTTTTTTTTCACGAAATCTTTTTGGTACTTCAATGTAGTAGTATTGATTAACAGTTTGACTAGTGGCAGCCCATTCAGTCATGACGAAATTACTGGGCGCCCAAGTGGAAGTCCAGCATGTTCATCATCTTCCACACTGCCCCTTTACCCTGAAAACCGCTTATGCCATTCAAACATTCAGACAAAGTTTCATCTTCATAAGCCTCGGTTAATACTTCACAAGAAACTTGATATTCATTCGCTGTTCGGTTTTTATATTAGATAATTTTCCGGTAGAATGCAGTTGCACGTGCTCACTCAATGACGCAGTACTCCCCGCTGGAGTGATCGATTAAGACGAAACTGGCCGCGTGGATAGAGGAGGTGTGTGGCATGACGTCACCCAAACGGTTGTTGCCAACTCCACTCTGTTTTAAAGCTACACAATTAGTCTTTTTTTGTGTGTCACACCTCGTATGTTATTCCGATCTCGTCCTGTGTTTCCTGAGCCAAGTATAGTTTATCTTGCTATTAATTTATAACTGAAATTTTTAATTTATTCGTTGCCTTAAATAATATAAAGCATAAAATGTTATAAATTTTAGAAGAATTTTCATAATGTTAATTTTATTAATTAAGATACAATAACATGCCGAACAAATATTAATTTAGAAGTCAAACACAAAAATGAGCGTTATATTTTCAAACTTTCACAGGACTAGTTTCGATGGTTTCACCGAACCATCATCCTTAGCTGCAAAAGCGCAAATGAACAGGTAAGATATAATAATTAGATAAGATAAAATAAGAAAGCTTGTACAGGAGATAAGCTCTTGGCGCCATCTGTTGATGAAACACGAACTAAAACATAATTTCTTTAAAGGCTGAAAGCAAAAGATGGATTGGAACTAAGGTCCTTAACTAGAATAGAAAGGTTTTTTTGAATGTGAAGTGCCTCTAGAAAAATCCAGTTCACCAATGGAAGATGTTTTTGAGTAATTTTGGCAGCAGAAAAATTGAAAGTATGATTTTCGGACCAACAATGTTGGGCAACAGAAGACTTCTGTGTTTCCTTTTTTCTAACATATGCCTCATGTTCCTTAACGCGAAGTTTTAAGGCTCTCTTAGTTTGGCCAATGTAAATGAAACCACACCTTCAAGGAATCCTATAAATACCCCAGGAATTCATATCCGGAATGGGGTCCTTGAGTATTGAACTCGGAATTTTATTGATGGGAGAATAAACGAACCGAAAGTTAAATTTCTGCAAAATACGTGCATTTTTATAGCTAATTGATGGAAAGAAGGGAATGACAACATAATTTTTATAATCTCCTAAAACAAGAGTGTGCCTTTTGGTGTGTTGAGATGAGAATTTCTTAACTGCTTGATTAATAATGTTGGGTGAAAAACCCCTGTCAATAGTTATTGCTTTTAAAAAATTTAGCTCTTCATGAAGGGATAGTTTGGAGGAGCAAACTTGAAGAGCACGGAAAACATGGGAATAAAATGAAGCTAACTTTTGTTTAGTCGGATGACATAGATACCGGGTTCGGTAAAACCATCGAAACTAGTTCTGTGAAAATTTGAAAATATAACGCTGATTTTTGTTTTTTGACTTCTAAAAAAAAAGTTAATTTTATTATTTTATGTCAATAAAAGTGAATTTCATGCTTTAAATTTAGTTTATTATTAATATATCATGCATTTGTTTTGCGAAAATAATAACGATTTGTTTCCTTAATTCTGATAAAAAAGTAAATGAATTAAAGAACAATTTCTGTTTAATTTTAGGCTCTACCTGATTAAAGTTCAATGCCATTTCTTAATTTTATCAAAGAAGCCACATTTTATATTTTATTTTATAGAAATAATTTTTTAACCCTATAACCTTTGCTGAAATGAAATTAATAATAAAATGAAAATTCCCTCAGTTTCGTTAGAATAAACACACATTCGAATTGCGGGGGGGGGGTAGGGAAGCCAACCAGATTTCCAAATTTTTGATAGGCTCTTTGTTGCTATTTTTGATAGCTCTTGGCCTACTTAGTTGGAGTATTTAGACTTTTGCTGTATACATAATATTGCTGGGCATAATCCTCACCGTTATTACTGTAAACGACATTTGTGTTTAAAAATTTTGCGATGATTTTTTTTCGGGGGGGGGGGTTGAAACTCCTCTAATTCAGTCTTTCTGTTTTTACATCTTGTTGCGCCTACTCTACGGAATGATGGATTGGAATTATGAGAAATGTTATCATCCTTCTTGTCATAAAAACCTTTAGTTTATTTTCCCGAATTAAAAATAAATGTTTGTTCAGCGATTTCAAAGCGTCATACCTACTTCTAAA